GTAATTACAGTGTACATGTACTGTACATATTATTGGCAGTAGATACCAAATGTAAATACAGAACGTTATTATTGAATTTTTTATTTATTTATTTTTTTTAATTTTAAGTAATTGGTTGATATTTTTAAATAGATTATTTCACAATTTACATATCAACAGATAGTTCAAAAGCACAACAGAGCATTGCCTGATGTCCACTATATTAAGAGCAATCATTTGCGTTCATGAGAACATTGTTTGAATCAGCCAATAATTGCTTCTGCATCCAATTCATCTAACAATTCCTTTTCATTTGAGAGCAACATGTATGATTCCAAATTCTCCTCAGACATCGAATCTCTAAAGTATGTTAGCATCATCTTTATCTTTCAAAATGTCCTCTCACATTGGACTTGATTAACTGATAGCGTGAAGATGACTTTATAAAATTCTTATTTCTTCTTATCACTAAAACAGTTGTCTGTGTTTGTTTCTTTTTTGCATTTTTATTTGATACAAAGAGCCCACTTCATCCGGGGCCAACTTGCCATTGAGCAAGCTGACACCCTAACCAGTCTGCCACTGCCTACAGCGAATTCTAAACTGAACCCTTTATTTAATCTGGGAGTAGGTTGTTCTTGTTTCACTGCCCATATTTAGGGATATCTTGTCTAGTTCTTATTTTTAGTACTGCACAGTTATTACACACTGCCTGAAACTGGGATTGAACCTACAATGGTAGACTGTTCTTGTTTCACTGCCCATATTTAGGGATATCTTGTCTAGCTCTTATTTTTAGTACTGCATAGTTATTGCACACTGCCGGAACCAGGGATTGAACCTACGGTGGTAGACTGTTCTTGTTCCACTGCCCATATTTAGGGATATCTTGTCTAGTTCTTATTTTTAGTAATGCATTGTTATTGCACACTGCCCAAACCAGGGATTGAACCTATGCATGGCACAGTTATTGCTTACCCCATTTTCATCGAGTACACACTGCCCAGCCCTGAGTTTGAAGTTGCAGTTACTAAGTCATGAAACTTACAAGTCAATGCTTTAATCCACTAGGTTATAATACACTTTAATCTACTAGGCTATTGTCTTCGGTAAATCAATGTCTAATGACCTGTGCATTCGAGAGCCTTAATAAAGAAAATATGCCTTCTGACAAGGTTTGAACCAGCATTCCTTTTCTAAGGAAAACCACTTTTTAGCAATGTGTTCTTTAGATTACTCAGCCACACAAGACTCACAGACAAGTAATGTTTAGTTACCCTGTTTCAGTTATCCACATCTCTTCTTCAGATCTTCTTCAGATCTCTCAGCAATTAGTCATGAAAGTATTTGTAAAAAAAGACAGAGGAACCAGTCTGTGAGAGAGCGACTAGATGCCAGAACAGGGCCATTGTATATATCCGCCTCTGGAGCTTATCAAGAATCTTGAGACAAACAGCAGGGCTCCAGACCATATATGGCAGCAATACTCCATGAAATTGTTATTTGTAGATCTGAAGGATCGATTCGGGGGAGAAAAGAGCACAGGGAGCCAACTTTCCTTGTGGTGGATGAAGCAATTGACTCAATGTATTTGTTCCCAGAGAGGTGCTCGTGAAAATTTGAGCATCAGACATTCTAATGGAGGCAGGGAAGGATTTCTGTGGTGATTAATACAGTCTCCGGATCTTATCAAGAACTCCAAGGTAAACAGAAGGGGCTCAGGGCAGCAATACTCCATGCAAGGGCGAATTGTTATAGATCTGAAGGCAGGAGAAAAATTTATCCGAGTCAACTTTCCCGGTGGATGAAGCAATTGACTCAGTGTATTTGTTCCATATCAGGTCAAGACAAGGTGAGACCAAATCAGAGAGTTGGTCTCGAAGTTGAGCATCAGACATTCTAATGGAGGCAGGGAAGGATCTCTGTGGTGATTAATACAGTCTCCGGATCTTATCAAGAACAAGGTAAACAGAAGGGCTCCAGACCATATATGGCAGCAATACTCCATGCAAGGGCGAATTGTTGATTTGTAGATCTGAAGGATCAATTTCGGGAGAAAAATTTATTGGTGCGGCACAGGAGTCAACTTTCCTTGCGGTGGATGGAGTGTATTTGTTCCATATCAGGTCAGCAGACAAGGTGAGACCGAGCTCAGAGTTGGTCTTAGCATCAGACATTCTAATGGAGGGCAGGGAAGGATCAGATTAATACAGTCTCCGGATCAAGGTAAAAGAAGGGGCTCCAGACCATATATGGCAGCAATACTCCATGTGAATTGTTGATTTGTAGATCTGAAGGATCAATTCCAGGGAGAAAAAGTTGGTCTCAGGAGTCAACTTTCCTTGCGGTGGATGAAGCAATTGACTCAGTGTATTTGTTCCATATCAGGTGGAGGTGAGACCAAGGAAGTTGGTCTCTGTTGAGCATCAGACATTCTAATGGAGGGCAGGGAAGGATCTCTGTGGTGATTAATACAGTCTCCGGATCTTATCAAGAACTCCAAGGTAAACAGAAGGGGCTCCAGACCATATATGGCAGCAATACTCCATGCAAGGGCGAATTGTTGATTTGTAGATCTGAAGGATCAATTCCAGGGAGAAAAATTTATTGGTGCGGCACAGGGAGTCAACTTTCCTTGCGGTGGATGAAGCAATTGACTCAGTGTATTTGTTCCATATCAGGTCAGCAGACAAGGTGAGACCAAGCAGCCGCAGAGAGTTGGTCTCGAGAAGTTGAGCATCAGACATTCTAATGGAGGGCAGGGAAGGATCTCTGTGGTGATTAATACAGTCTCCGGATCTTATCAAGAATCAGGTAAAACAGAAGGGGCTCCAGACCATATAGCAGCAATATTCCATGCAAGGGCGAATTGTTGATTTGTAGATCTGAAGGATCAATTCCGGGAGTCAACTTTCCTTGCGGTGGATGAAGCAATTGACTCAATGTATTTGTTCCATCTCAAATCAGCAGGAGAGTTGGCAGCCGCAGAGAGTTGGTCTTGAGAAGTTGAGCATCAGACATTCTAATGGAGGGCAGGGAAGGATTTCTGTGGTGATTAATAGAGAGCTGTTTTGTTTTTGAGGCGTTAAAGTTGACCAACCAATCTATTAACTTTTATTGTTACATCTGAAATGCAAACAAAGTGATTTCTAAAAAATGAATGGATATTATTTATAATCTGACAGCATTTCTTTTGGTACAGGGAATGAATTCTTGATCGAATTCATTCTGCCCAGTCATAAACAGTGCAAATTTATGTCTACCAACCCGAGTCTTAAAGAAATGTACCTTCCAGTCTGGTTCAAACCCTGTATCTGCTTTTCAATGGAAACAAAAACCAGGCTAGATGTGCTTTAGACCATTCAGCCACAGAAAGCTTTCACAGCCAAGCAAGTTTAAAATAATAAGAAATAATGCTGGATAATAAATAAAATCCATTCATTTCTTAACAATTAGGTGTGTATATGAGTACAGATATTTAGCTTTGTTTAGCACAGTGAGGGTAGAGAATGAAGATTATGTTGCACCAGTTTTCAAAGAAAGGAGAGATTTCCAAAGTAGAAAATCTGCATTTAAATTTTTTTTTTTTTAATACCAAGATTCAAGCACCAATCACTGGTTCAACAGAAAATGTACAACTCTCTCAACCACTTAGCAGGCTCTTTGCTTTACTATTTTGGTATATATGTACACAGACATAGATTATTTCATATATAGTAATGGTGAAATTAGGATAGCCAAAGATGCCTGCCAAAAGCTAAGTAGAGTATTAAGAAGCGGAAATGTTAATTGGAATTGTGAAATTAGCCATTTCCATACAGGAAACATTTGACTTTCATTGAATGAATAGTTAGTGCTTCTATAAGTTGAAATTTGTAAAAACAGTTTTGAGATTCATAGACATATTGAGATAACCAAGGACACATTCCAAAAGCTGGGCAGAGTATTGCGAGACAGAAGGATATCTTTGGTAACAAAGAAAAGAATACTGACCTGTTACATGACATCTGTACTTCTTTACGGCAGTGAATGTCAGACAATTTCCTCAAAGATGAAGAAGAGGCAATGGAGATGTGGTTCTACAGAAAGATGCTAAGGATATCATGGACCGAGCATGGGAGCAACGATGAGGTCTTAGAGAGGATGCAAACAAAGAGGAGGCTTATACTTAAAATCAGGAAGAGTTTTAGCAATATCACAATATCTTCTCTGTAAATTACATAAATTACTTTTTGCATTTCAGTTGCATTTTTATCATTCTTCAAACAAAGATTCATAAAATGTAAAAAATGTTTTTCACCCATCTTCAATGTTAAAATCAACTCCCAAATATATATCAGTTTCACCAATTTCTTTTTAAATATGAATACTATCACTGTACGATGCAGACTGGTCCTTTTTTGATTGTCATAGTTATATATATACACATATATGATGGCTGTTGTCAAGGTTGACAATCCTGGTGACAGCCTTTTACTGCCAATGGCTTTTAATACTGCCCATTGACAAATGCCATAAAGATTTTGGCAAATGCATTAGATTAATTTCATATAGAACTACAAATGAATATGTGTATAGACCAGGAAATAGTTAGAAGTATGACATTTACTTCAACTCAAATATAAATCTGGGTTTTGGTAAATAAAACTTTAGGGTCTAATTTAAATAGAGGAAGAGTGGAGACTTTAAATCATCTTCCTTAGGTAAGAAAAGGAAATTGTCCATATTCAGTTGGTGTGATTATTTGTGTATCAGTCACTATAATGTACTACTTTATAACAATGACAAAAATAATTGCATAGAAAAAAATCTTTTGGTTTTTCCCTAAGAATTCTAAGTGTCATTTTGTTTTTCAAGATCTTAATTCTACAACATAGCAAATGTTTGAAAATAGTGTATTTTTCTTCTTTTTTTTTGTAAGTCGGAATGTTTGTGGTTTTATCATGATTTCCTTCACCTCAAATTGCTTTCTCCAATTTTTAGGTAAATCTATTAAACGTTGCAACCAGTAAGCACAGCAAATGCGTTCAAGAGATTTTTTGTCTGTTTTCTGGGAATTTTTTTTTTCTAAGCTGAAATAAATGAAGAAATGAAAATGTTTTATGGTTTTCTTTTCTGTTTTTGATTCTAAAAATGATTCTACATGCATGTGGGGGTGTAGCAAGTATTTTTCTCTTCTGTTTTCTCTTCACTTTTTCCTTCTCTTTTCTGTTTCCTTCATCTTACTCTCTATTTAATTCTTTTTTCCTCCTCTTCTCTGTTCCATGCTTTTTTCTACCTTCTGTTTCCTTTCCCTTCCACCTCCTCTTCTTTTCTCTTTTCTTTCTCTACTTTTTCCACCTTCTCCTGTTTCCTTTCGCTTCCTGTTTCCTTTCTCCACCTCCTCCTCCTGTTTCCTTTCTCCACCTCCTCCTCCTGTTTCCTTTCTCCACCTCCTCCTCCTGTTTCCTTTCTCCACCTTCTCCTCCTGTTTCCTTTCTCTACTTTCTCTACCTTCTACACTTCCTTCTTCTCTTGTTTCTTTCCCCTCCTTCTTCTCTTGTTTCTTTTCTCCTCCTCCTCCTCCTCTTGTTTCTTTTCTCCTCCTTCTTCTCTTGTTTCTTTTCCCCTCCTTCTTCTCTCATTTCTTTTCTCCTCCTTCTCTCTTGTTTCTTTTCCCTTCCTCCTCCTCTTGTTTCTTTTCTCTTCCTTCACTTCTCTTTCTTTTCTATTTCCTTCCTCTAACTCTTCTTTTTCTCCTCCTCCACTTCCTTTCACTAATTCCTCTTCTTCCTTTTTATTTTCTTTCTCTTCCTCCTCCTTCTCCTTTCTTTTAATCTTCCTCCTCCTCCTTTCCATTTTCTTTCTTTTCCTCATCCTCCTTCTTTCCAGTTCCTTTCTCTACCACCTTTCCTTCCTTTCTTCTTTCCCACCTGTTTCCTTCTTTTTTTTTCTCATCCTTTCTGCTTCCTTTTTTCTTTTTCTTTCTTTTCCTTTTCCCTTCTGTGACTGTTGACCTCTTTTTCTTTGTTTTTATCCTTTCTTTCTCCTCTTTCTTCTTTCTGTTCCTCCCACCTCCTCTTTACATTCCTTCCTACATCCCTACCTGTTTTCCTCTTACCCCCACTTCTACTATTTTTCTCTGTGTCTCCACCTCCTATATCTTTGTTCCTTCCCCTGTTTTCACTTCATCCCCACTTTACTCTCTTTCTCTTTCTTCTCCCTCACTCTCTTTTATCCCCCCCACTGACACTTAATTTTTCTCAAAATCTCTCCACTTCTGTTTTTTTTTGTAATTTCTGAACTCTTTTCTACACAATTTAGCATTTCAAGCAACTCACTTCAGGAATGCGCTAATTCCCCAAACGAGATACCTTAACAAGAATCCACTCTTCTGCTTTAGAAAATATCACAAAACGATGGCAATTTATTTGGAGAAAAAAAAAATATTATTCTTCCTTAAATTATTAGCAGACAATCTGATTCCCTATCCTTATCGAAAGAGCATTTCACTGAATCGTTTAATCAAAGGAGTATCCATCTTAGGTTATTTTTACTTTTCAAGAGGATACAGGGACAAACAACTTTTGAGGCAGATATATCATTAATATACGAGTTCACCTGCTAGCAAGGTTACCTAGCACAATATGGTTTACTATTTACACTATTTACATTATTCAGATTGTTGTCCTCGTCTTTATTGCCATATTAACATTTCAACTATTGTATGTGCTGACCTTCTTCACATGATATACATTGAAATTTTTTAACTGAACCCTTTATTTAGCTCACAGTGGTAGATTGTTCAAATTGCATAATCCCTTAGTTTTTTTGGATATCAGTATCAATTAATTCTCTTTAGTAACTCAACTCTTCAAGTGTTTGTTCTCTGTGGCTAGGTATTGAACTCATAACTCTTTGGGTCAAGTCACTTTTTGGATTACTTCAATCAAACTTTTATCCATTGGGCCATCAGCCACCTGAAGAAGGTCAGAGCACACAATGGCTGAAACATCATGAATATGGCAATAAAAATGAGAACAGCCCGAACAATGTAAATAGTGTAAATATTTACAGTACCTCATCAATCTTGGTCATCAAAAATTTAGATTCATTGTCAATCATATTTGACTGTCTTCTTGATTCCTTTTCTTTTATTCTCATTCCTTAATGATGTTTTTCTTTTTCGTATTCTTTCACACTCAGTAATCCCCCCCTTGTGTCTTAGTGGCTTTATTGCCTTGCTTGGGGGTGAATTGATTAAAAAACATTCAATTTCTCTTTGTTTTGTTTTATGATATTTACAGACTAAGTAAATATATTTAAATAAATAAAAATAAAACATAAAGATAAATTTTGAATCACAGTTTTGTTTTAACATGTGACTTATGTAGCATGAGATACAATATATATATATATATATATATATATATATATATGTGTGTGTGTATATAATTATTTATTTAAAAATATGATTCCATCGCTACATAAGAGTTCTCATGTTTCAAAACAAGAGCCGAAAACTTCAATATAATTATTTGA